TCTAGAGAAAGTAACATGTATAAGCAGTAAGACATATCAAGTAAAACTCAAAAGTTTAAAGAAGAATAATATTTAAGTTGATTTTATAGCCAGATCACTAGTGAGATACATTTGATCTGTGAAGATTTAAGGTTACTGTTCAGTAAAACAGTCAAACTCACTTATTACATGGACCCAAAGCAGGCAAACCATCACTTGGTCCATCTGTGTAGTGGAGAGGAAAGAGTCCAGCGATAGAGAAGTCGCCCTGCAGCTGCATCCCCTGTCCCTGAGAGATGTAATCCAGTTCCCCATCAGCAAACTGCAGCATCAGCCAGCCTAATGACAGAATCACAGCCCCAAACAGATTCATACTTCACCTCCACCTCACACACACTACTGCTGGTGCTGTGGAAGCTTGCTGTTGTTTGTAGAACAGATCAAGGCCTGGTTATGAAAGTGAGGATTGATAGGGGGAGGGAGGAAAGGATCACATTTGCATCTTTCTGGGAAGTGCTGGTTGAGTGAGGTGTGTTTGCAAGTCAGATTTGTTTGTGTGACTGTCAAGTTTCCAGCCTACTGCAGTGAACTGCATAAACGTAATAAGCCATGAAAAGGAAAACCGGTGTTTTTCCATTAATCTTTGACAAGTGACAAACAACTGTAAACCAGAGCAAACGGACCATCTGTGGCTCAGTGCAGATCTGTTAACCATAAACCTTTTCTTTCAGTTCATTAAAGCGATTTTAAAAATGTATTTTAAGTGGAAACTTGGTCATTTGAAAATTAAAACATCTTTATGATCAATTTGTTACAAAGATTTGGTGTTTAATTTAAGCTTTTTTTGTGCATTTTTAGCAATTGGATGGTGAGCACTTCTGTTCTTGAAATTGCTGAGAGACCCTCTTATTGCCATCCTCTTAATGCTCGAGGTCTCTAGTTTACGGTTGTAAAGTTTCATGAGGCTGTGAATATTCCAGACGTTACAAGAGGTCATTTTATACTGAAAGCTCTGTATTTAAGAAAAAAAGGCCTCACTACAATGAAACAGCAACTACAATATTTTTTTTATGGGGGCTAACATCATCACACATGAATACAGTTAGGTTCACTGAATCCACAAGAGTCTCAGCTTTGTCTTCCAAGACTGTGTAGGGTCTCCAGTATGCAGAAATATTGAAATACAACAGGCAAAGTAACACATTTACAATATATGTAAAAAAAAACTGCATAGTATTTGCCCAAAACTGCAAAGACCAGCATAAAATGGGCATGTCTGTAAAGGGAAAACTTGTGGATATCAATAGAACCCATTTTCATATTCAGATATCTTGAGGTCAGAGGTGGCCATGCCCATTTTTCCCTTGTCAAAATTTAGCCCAACTTTGGAGCATTAGTTACCTCCTTCTTCCAGCTAGCATGATGTGGCTGGTCCTACCGAATTCCTCAGGTCTACTAATTTCATATGATACCAGTATCATTACTCTAACTTTAAAACTCAGCTTGCTATAGCCTCTGAAACACAGGAATGTTGGCCTAGATCAATGGTGACCCTGTAGGTCTCAATCACATTTGGAGATTTCAAAGTAAGTTTTACATGTAAACACGGGCCTGTATAGTTTTGTTCTTTCATTAACCTCTTATGTTTAGCTTGGGACCTATTTGGAAATCCTATTCCTTCAAATTTAATACTCTGCAAGTCAATCTTATCTCAAACCCGCAGTCAATTAATCTGAAATACAGCTGTTGTCTGTAGGGTTGCAGAGGTAAAAGATATTCACTGTACAATAAACACCTTAGAAAATACTGCGGTTTCAGGGCATTACGGTATTACATAATAATAATAATTATTATTATTATTATTATTATTATTATTATCATTATTATTATCAGTCAGAATGACCCTTAAAGGAATTAATATAGAGAGGTTATCTTTGGTTGAACCAACATTTTATTACTATTAAACATTTTATTACTATGAAACTTGAAACCATATTTTTATTGGAAGTGTGTGTAAAAAGTTTCCCTTTTGAAAATAACTAGGTGAGATTCTCCATCCAGTTGTATTTTTTTCAACATTGTAGATAAGCAAAAGTACACAGTATGATCACCGTCAATACCACTACAACCCTAGTTGTTCATTCAGGCAACTAGCTTTTATTCATCATCTTTACAAGAAAGTAAACAACAAGAGAAAAAGACACCATAATAATTAAACTTCACACACAGAAGCACATAACTTTCAAGGATATTTGATTGAGTATGAACCTTTTATTTTCCAGTTTCACACACAGATGACAGACACACAACACAGTGGAGGCAGTGATAAAAATTAAATGCAACTCCAGAGTTCCCGGACAGTCGTGGGTGGATTATGAGACAAGAGGCCCCTGGGCACAGATATGCAATGGGCCCCACCACCTCTCCTACATAGGAGCAAGACACACTGACTTTGTGGTGGTTGTGTCTCTTTGTGTTCAATATGCATCTTTTTGTGAGTTTGTGTCTGTTGTTGGTCATTTTGTGTCTTCTTGGGGTCATTTTGTGTCTTTTTTGTTGAATAGTGTCTCTTTTGAGTCGCTTCCTGTTCGGTATATACTAACTAGACATCTGCTGTGAAAAAATGTCTTTTGTCCAAGCTGGCTCACTGGGCAAAGCTTGCTGGGAAGCTAAAAAGTAACAGAGCTGTCTTTGATTAATGTTATTAGATATACTTATGTTTTTGCTGTTTAGGTAAAATGTCCGTCAGGAAAGAGGTTTGTGCAGGTGGAGCTGAATTTGCATTTTGGTTGATATTTGAGGCTTATTTTGTTAAACACACCTGTTGTACTAACATACAATTTGCCTGACCCTCAGCTGTGTGCAGGACCCAAACCCAATGTTTTGACAGGATTATTGTGCATTTTGTCAACCGCAGTATTTTGGAGGCAAATAGACATGTAAATGTCCATGTCTGTACAAACACAGAGATTTGAGTGAAAATATTTGCATGGTGCAAGCTTTCTTATTGTCAACAGGAAAAGGGTTTGAATGTTTATTCAAACATGGAAGTCAAGCAGCTCATTTTTAAAAAAGTTTTCACAAAATGCTGAAAGATTAACTACTGTACTCATTTTTAATAATTATTAGATAACAGCAGAAACAATAAATCAGTGACATGTAACAGTAATCGCTTTAATAGTAACAAACAAACAAACAAAAATAACAGAAAAATCCTAGTTTGCATGACTGAAAGCTGCACACAGAAGAGCTCAGCATACAACAGATCCATTAATGCAAAATAAAAGCATCAGCAGTGGTTGTTACTTTGTCATTCAGATTTCTTTTTTCTTGCATTGGATTTTATGATTTCAGTCAGTTATTATTTTGATACTGTTAATAGTTTGACGTTTTACACACAGGTGTGAGCAAAAACAATAATGATAGATCCTCTCTATTTAATTTTTCCAGTAAGACGTGTAGGTGAGCCAGCATGCACCATGGCCCTAGGACATCTAAATGTGGAATTCAGGTATTATTAATGAATGTTGCCTCTCCTGTTAGGACCTGTTTAAACTGAGGTTTGAAAGGTAATGCAAAATGTCTCACAGGGAATGTCTATAGTTTGACTAACTGCAATTTCATTAGGATCCTTTTAGAAATAGAGATGCCGTGCTCGTTTTTGATGCTTTTTCTCCTTTTGTATTCTGACTAGATTTCCCTGCTCCTGTGAGGACACATTACAAACTGCAGTTTAAAAGACCATTTATGGCTGACATTCAGTATACTGATTGTAATGCATCGTTTACTCATATTTACTATTTTTGTTATTTTTACTAATTTCAAACACAAACAAACAGACAAAATAAAACAGAAAGGCAAGATCATATGAATATATTCCTGTTTTAGGATATATAACTAAACTAATTTCTTTATGTAACTCAAAGCAGTCAGGATCTATTATTTATTAAACAGGAACACCACCAAATTTAAATATGTTATTTCCATGGCCTAGGAGGGTTCAAACCATATTTGTGAACGCGAGCTACTTTGTTTCAAAACCAGAAACCAGAGAAGTGAGTCTCAAATTTGTGATAAAGTCTGGAGCTGTTCCATAGACAATGAATGGGAGACTGATTCATCTGATCTTTTTTATACCCAAATTAGTNATATATATAGATATAGATATAGATATATATATCACAAATTTGAGACTCACTTCTCTGGTTTCTGGTTTTGAAACAAATTCGCTTTATTCTATTGTAGTGTTCTCAGATGTGAAACAAAAAAAAATGTACCCATATACACAGAATATTCCTCTGGGTGCTCTCAGTGTCTCATCTATAGCATGTTTCCCAATTCATTGTCTGTGGAGCAGCTCCTGATTTTATATCCTGTGACATCACAAATTTGAGTTTTAATGCTCCAGTTTTTGGATTTGGCAGAGAGCTGTTCACATTTGCTGTAATTTCTTGACTGCCCGCTGAGGATACACACATGCAACTTTTAAAATTCTGCAAAGGAAGGACTCAGTCTTCGGTAGAATTTGAAGGAACCTTCACATTGGAACAGTCCTTCGGCGAGATTTGATGATGTAGATCCTTCCTTGACTTTGAGAAGCATCACCTGTCTCATGTACTTCTTTCAGAATATAGCGACAATTTCAGAAAACATGACACAAAGTTATTTTTATAAAAATAACAACCACAGTTTTAATGTTTCATTCAAATTTAGTTGTGTTTTTTTCCGAACAATTGTATCTGTCCAAATCTTACTTGAGTCGTAAAACAAAATGAGGCCTGATTTTAAGATTGAAACTGTCCTTACATGCAGGAATGGGTTTTATATCTTCATCCCATGGGTACTCTGGGTGTATTATTTAGAACTGGATACCTGACACCAGGATTCCCATTCAGCCAAATGAGAACTGCTTGTCTGTATTATTTAGTTTATGTATTTACTTATTTAGCACTTAATAGTAAATCTATTCTGGGTTGTACAGGGTATCATGCAGGGATCTGCCACGTCACCACTGTGCGACGCACACGCTGAGGTGAAAGTGCAAGCTGCCATTTTTTCGAAGGAAACCTCCTGATTAGACAAGCAAAGACAAACTGTGAGTCTCACCGTCACTCTTTAGCAGTTTTTGTCTCATCTGTTGGCGAACTGAAGAGATAGTCTGCACGAATATTACAGAGGCTTTGTTTATTTAACCCGGGTTAAAGCTCAGGTTAGCTGAGGGCTGCACTGGGCTGCAGATGGCTGCTTAGCTCGGCTAGCTAACGTTAGCTGTGGCTGTAAACAAACACTACAGACAGTGAGGAGACAGCAGCTGATTAACCAGCTCACACTTGTCAGGTTTGTTCAGTAGATGTGGATAATTCAGTGAGAGAAAGAGCTAACATAACTTATGAGCCATAGCGTCAGGTGGAGCGTACAGGAGCAGGTTTGATGCTGCATGTCTGCGAGTTAGCGACGACACAACTTCAGTTTTGATGACATTGCGAGTTTCTCCAAACTAGGTCGGTGCTCAGTGGCTCTCGAGCGGGCCGGGGTCAGTCGGGTCACGGGGGAAACGCACACTCACACCGGCATGTCGTCCTTCTCTGAGTCGGCCCTGGAAAAGAAGCTGACGGAGCTAAGCAGCTCGCAGCAGAGCGTCCAGACTCTGTCTCTGTGGATCATCCACCACCGCAAACACTCAGCCCTCATCGTCAAAGTGTGGCACAGAGAGCTGAAAAAAGGTGAGACCTGCTGCTGCAAACTACTATCATATATGCTGTCCATTTAGTGCAGCAAAAACTATATTGGTGACAGGAAACTTGGATCATGAATGTGTCAGTGTGGCTGTTAGGACAGAGGTGGAAGAAGTACTCAGATACTTTAGTAACGTTAAAGCTACAATACCACACTGTAAATACTCCATTCAAATCCCTGCATTCAAAACCTTACAGCAGTAAGTACTAAAAGTAGTATTTACTTATGGTATGGGTAGTATTAAAGTAAAAATTCTGCCCTGTTTTACTGTTACATACTGTATAATGTTTTTGGATTAGTATTACTGCTGCATTAATGTGTGTGTTGCCTTATACTACTGCAGATGATTTAGATTGTGCTCATTTGAAGTTCTTTATATACTTTTGGGTAGTTAAATCTACAGCAATGCATCATACGATAAGATAGGAGAGACACCTTTCACTAATGAACATATGGAAACAAGAATATGTATATATGAATATATGTATGGGTATATATTGACAGCTGTACAGGATATTCCGTGCATAAGATCATCATGTGTTTCTTCTGTGAGACCTAAAAATTCAACTTTTGAATGAGCTCAGAAAATCAGCCCTGTTTTCATCTTCGTCAATTCAATTATATTCTATTCGGTATAACTTTATTTATCCCTAAAGACATTCATGTGCCAGAGAGTGCTTCAAATTATAATAACATTAACTACAGTAACCACAATTTTATTCACACACAGTATAGTCTCGCCACCAGACAATCAGAGATCTCCGCCTTCTGATAGTCTGGGGACACTCCTTTCTAAAGTGTGTTTAACACACTGGCGAAAACGGCCGGCAACAAAGCAACGCCTCTTGCATTTTTGAAAAGGACATGCCTTCTCGGAAATGTGCGCTCCCCCTTTTCTCGTCCGCAAGGAAACAAACACAGAGAGCTTGAAAATGGATGCCGAGAGGTTTAACTCCGTTTTATCAAACGTGTGCTCATCCGTGAAGAAAATATTTTTTCCAGCGGATGTCTTAGTTACAGCATTATTGAGCTAACTGGAGTAGTGTCATGTCGTATCCGACAACAGGAGGCTTTTAACAGATGACGTCCTGATGTTAGCTTTGCTGCTGCTGTTAGCTGTCCCTGTCAGCTGCAGCCACTGATGCTTTCTAGACTTCGTGATTTCCCAAAACTGAATAAATACCACACATAGCAACACAAAACTGCTTTGCTAGCTCAATCATGCTGTAACTAAGATATCCGCTGGAAAAGATATTTTTTTCACGGACCGTTTAATGAGTTATTACCTATTACAGACATCGCTAACGGCTAACAGGGCTAACAGCTAACGGTTAGCCCAGCTAAACGTGCACACAGAAATAGTAATGTTTGTTCAATCATTGTGTTTATAGACTTTACAAACATCGGATTAGTCCAAACGGTGATACAGTGATGTGAAAAATGTGATATATAGGCTATATATGTAGCTAAAAGCTCTGCTGGTTTTCTACCCGGAAGTATTTGTGAACAACAAGGTGATTCCCTCTATAGTCCAGCCGGACGGATGAGTCATGGCCTTGTAAAAGATTATATTTG